AGCTTTCACTTGTGAAAGTGCCTGTGAACATTAATTTGTGACTAGCCGTGCTGATGGCAGCACTAATTGAACCTTTTTATAAATCATTCCTGTACCATCTTCCAGCGTAAGGCTGTGGACAGATGTTCATTTAACAAGACATCTGTGCTGGTTTAGGATGTTACTGTATCCCAGATGTTACACTGCTTTTTAAGGTTATTGGCCCTGTTTTATATATTTAGTACCATCAGTTTCCTCCATGGTTTGCAGTGCATACGAAGGAAGATGGTTTCTTTTCTGAATGATGTAGAGGTTTCAGCATTTTGGAAAAAGGGGTAAACTCTTGAGAGTAGATTGCATGTACTTGTTTTCATAAGCCTGGAACAAAATGCACAGGGTGAGAATGGTAGTTTTGATAGATGATCTTGAACAAGCTGTCACATGATTTTGTTGGTAGCAACTTAGGGAAGACTTTTAGAAACTGGTGTCTGGCAATAACTTCTGGGTAATCATAAACTAGGCCTGGCAGTGACAGGCATCTGAGGATAGTAGCTTTGTCAGTTATTTCATGTGGTTCCAGGAAATGTTGGCCCATGGCCTTATTCCTGATCACTTTGTGGAAAGAATGAGATGATTTAAGATGTACTTTTGACCTACATTGTACTTGTCCAGTTATGGTGCTATTGCTGTCACCTTTCAACCAACAATTAAACAAAACACCAAAAAAACCCAATTATGCAGAAAAGAGAAGAAAAGAAACAGTATCTCATTACTGTCAGGTGAATAATACTTCCATTTTCTCCCATGCTGCTCTGTATGCATTCAGCAGAAACTGCTCAGGTGCCTGGTGATCTCCCAGTGTTATCCAAGTCCTCAGGGCTTTGAGACAGCCTCAGCAGGGCTTTCCCTGTGCAGAGGGAGTACCTAATGCTCTGCTGAGCCCTGTGATTGGTTTTTATGGGGTTTTTTTTTCCCCTCTGGGCTAAATTTAATTAGTTGCTTACCCAGAGAAGAATTATGAGATTTTGTTTACCATGGTATATTTAAAGATGGAGATTAATGAAAGGCATTAACTAAAAAAGCTAATTGATAAAAAATTTAGGAGTAGGTCACAAAGGATTCTGATAAGTGACTCTATTTTATGGAAGTAGGAGTAAAATTATGATAGACAGTAATTACATTCAGCTGGAGTCCTGTATACACAGGACTTTTTTTAATAAAAAAATATACTTTTGTCTTTGGTGTTGATTATTATTCTGTAAAATGCTGAATGGTCTTTAAACACTTCAAGAAGTTGTATTTCTCTCAGTGGACCTGTTCTTTTGAGCAGAAATAGACGTGCTCTTGTTTTTTTTTTTCTTCTAAATTGAACTCTGTTGTAGGAAAAAGGCGGGCGAGGAAGCCATGGCAGGGACCTTGGCAGCACTTCAGCCCGCGTACCAAGCTCCCTGCCTGCCCACTGACTAATATTTATTGTTTTCTGGCAGAGTGTGTATTGGTCAGGCTCTGCTGTACATTTTGTTCTGGGTCTGCTGTGAGCTGTGAGAGACGTGGCTCGTCTGTGTTCAATGGTTCTGCCGTCCCGAGCTGCTGGGGGCTCTGCGGTGTTGCGTGGAAGGGTGATGTAGTTGCTCCTCCTGGTAAGAAAGTTCAGGGCTGTGCTTCAAGATCTAGAGCAGAACTGATGTTGTAGTGTTCAGTACATCAGTTATGGTTCTGGACTGCCTGGCTTCGTGTGGGTAAAGGGAAATAGTCACAGGCTGTTGTTCCTGATTGCTTCAAGGCAGCAAAAACTGGCCCCCAACACCCTCTCTCCCCTCTTGACATCTCACATCCTCCTTCAGAAGGATGAACTTGAGAACAAACCAAGTCCCAGGCAAAGAACAGAGTACAGGCTGCTTTTCCCACTGTGTTGAAGGGCAAGTGGAAATAAGTAGAGAAAAAATAAAAAATTAACAGGGTTTGTCAGTGGAAAAATGCAGTGTTATGCAAACCAGCCAAAAGCTTTATGTATGAAATATGTAAACTTAATGCAAATAACATGAAAAATCCGTTCCTATTACAAATGCTGATTGCAGAGATTAGGTATGCTATATGGCCTTCTCAAATGGCATTTGCTGTGGAAACATTAAATTACAGTTGTCAGTACAATGTATATTTCACTGTTTTGTGACTTGAACTATTTTTTTTTGCTCTAAGCCAAACATAAATTTGTAGGCTATAAAATCTCTTCTGATCACTGGGAAATGAATATAACCAGCAGAAATAAGTTAACGATACCATGTTTTCCACTGTTTTTTCAGTTATGTTTAAAACCTGCACAACATTAAAAAGGCTTTTTGTAGAATATTTGTGGGAGGGGAATGGCAAGAAAACACCAGACGTGGTTATATCTTCTACTGAAAGAAGCAATTATGTTTAATTAATTTAAACCTCTGCTTTTCCTTGGTGTTAAATAGGTTGATAAAATACAGCAGGGAGTTCAAGGCGTGAATACTGCTCTTGTTCAAATAAAATGTTTAAAAAGGCTTTGTGAGGTACTTTAGTGTTTAATACATGAACTATAGTTTAATAGAAAATCTAAACTCATCTGTAAATTATTAAATAAACATAAACAATCATCCTCTTCCACTATCCAGCAAGTTTTACCTCCAGGTTTGTGTTGGGGAATACTGAAAAAGGGATTCCTATGAAAAAGCAGAACTGTCATTTATGTTTTATGATTTCACAGTAATCCTTGTTTAGTATGGGCTTGTATTGCAGACAGGTAGTTGGTAGAAGAATAATTGGGATAGGATTTAGAAATAATCCCTGTCCTTAGCTGATTGTGTTCTGTAAAGCTTTTGAGCATTCCTGCACCAAGGGAAGTGTTTTCACTCACCTGCATTCCTATCCTTTCACTGGGTACTGGATGATGCTGTGAAGATCTGCAAGAAATTTAATACTTAAATGCTTTTGGCTTCTTTACCTCCTGTTTTGTTTTTCTAAGTGTTAGAGAGGAGTGTTGCCTTCCTTGCTGTATCTCAGTGTCGCTGGAAGACCCTGTTCTACCCAGTGGCTGTGATATTCCAGTTGCTCTATTCCCTGCTCTTTGTTACGGAAGGAATCCACCTGTGTGACCATCTCAGATGCTGCTGTCAGCAGTGTTCATGTCCTTCCCACTTCCAAAACATGTGTCCCCATTCCAGCCAGCTCACTGGTCACTGCTCCTGGATGGGCTGATGCATGGCTGAAGGGAGGGGAGTGCAAGACAGTTTCTTCTGATCACTGTGCAGTTTATTCTGCTTTCAATTTTTGTGACACGTGGGATTTACACTGGGAGCTTTTAAAGTGGCAGATAAGTGAAGGGGATGCTTCTGTCTCTCTTAAGAAGGCTGTTACTTACTTTGTATGTTCTTGGTGTGCTGTCACCGCTTATGGGTAAGCAGGCAAGGGGAATGATAACCTTGTAATCCCTAGGGTTCCCACTGTGCTCATGTTTTTTCAGCATTATCCTGAAAAATTTTATAGGGATGCCAAGAAAAGTCCTCTTGTCCTTAATCTCTTCTTGCTTTTTTCTTTCCCCCAGCTCCTTTGTAAATTGAGTGGGAGGTTTTCAGACTTTGGTTTGAGCCTCATTTTAATTCTTCTCCTCCTTCACAGAGACTAAAATGGTCCCAGCACAGTCTGAAGAGGTTGTCTTGCTCTGGGTAGTCCAAGAGAGTAAATCCTCTTCTAGCAGGAGAGCAACCTGTTCAGACTCCAGAGATGGTTCCAGTTCTGCCCAGTTCTTTGATCCAAGAGAACCAAAGGCATTGCATGATAGCATTTCTCCTGTAGCTGATTTAGCAGATCCAGTCCTGCGGAAGTAGTTTGGATGGACCAAAGTGTATAACAGACTGTACAAAAAAGGGAAGCGCTGGTTTTGGAATGATTTAATCGCTTCAAAAAAAACCCAAAACCTTTTCTCCCCAATGCAGAACTAAACCCAAACCTTTCAGAATCCTCTGTGAAAGAGGAACTGGAGGGGTTTTGTTTGGGGGGGCAGGCGGGGTGCCCGTGGGCTGGCCTGCGTGGCATCCCGATTCAAGGCATGTTGGTTGGGTGAATGGTTGCCTGGGAGCTCTGGGATGTTGGAACTGCTGAGATGCCCCAAACGGCTCAAAATTTGTGTACTTGGAATCAGAAGCTCCCAGGGTCTCCCAGGCTTTCCGTCAGCATGCCAGGCAGGTTGCCAAGTAGCCTGAAAATTTGGGAGGCGAGTTGCCAAGCTCTTGGCTCCCTTTCAAATGGGCTGCTGAACAGCTGGGAATCTGGATGCCTCGGCTTCTCAACAGCCCACCATGATAGTTACTGAAGAGCTAGGCAGGGAAAAAAGGCTAGAATTTGTGGCACAAACCTGTCTGCTTTCCATCAGACCTTGGTTGAAATTGAAACAAATCTGCCAGGTATTTTAGTTTTGACAGGCTGTCCTCACGTGATGACTTTTTTAATGTGATGACATCTAGTCATCTCTCATAACATTTTACTTCATGTGTCAAAATATTGTTTCACTGAAAATAATGTGTGTTTCAGTTTCATTGCTTTAGCATCATTATTATTCTATTGAAATTTCTTCCAAGGGTGCTCTGCGTGGATCAGTCTCTATTTTATAGTAGCTGCTGCCTAGATTTTGGATAGTATTCACTCTCACCTCTGTGTAGTTACTTATTACATGGAGCAGACAGGATGCTTGTGTCAAAATCTGGCTGAGTTAGTCTGTTGCTTGATCAGTTAAAGTTAATTATTGTATTTTTCTTGTATGAAGAATCAGAGAAACTTAAGGGGCCAACTGCTGATTCAAGTGTAATTTGCTGGGGACATAAACGTAGAATGGGGAAAAAGGGGAGGAAGTTTCCAGGTTGTTCAAGACTGAAATCATGGGTTAACTTGAATGTTACATTATTAAGTGCCGACATTCATCCTTCAAAATGAAGTAATTTAAATCCTAATTTTACAGATGCTTTCAGTCTAAAAAGAGATTTTCCTTCTTATGTTTGCAGGCCTCGGAGTAGAGGAAAAACTGCAGTGGAGGATGAAGACAGTATGGATGGTTTGGAGGCAGCAGAAACAGAAAACACTGTGGAAACAGGTACTGAGAATATAGTGTTGATGCTCTCTGGGTGCTTCTTCTCTCTCAGAAATGCATTTAGTTATGCAGTACTTGATAGACAAGAAATAGTTATTTCATTTTGTAGTATGAGATGTGCATTTGGGCAGATTTAAAAGCAAAAACCCTCTAAACCCTTTAAACATGTATTAATTTAAAGCTACTGAAGCTATTAGTTTTAAATAGTCTAATGGGAATGTCTTTGTGGTATAGATACGTAGAGGTTCTTTTCCTACTTTTGCAAGGCTGTATCTAACAAAAATAAAAGCTCTGAAGTGGCAGCTGCTTGTTTTTGGAATACCTGCCAAAATACACTACTACTTATTGACCTGTATCTTCAGCACACTACAGCAGATTATATACCAAAGGGATAACCAGGATAACCAAATGCTAATGCTTCTTGCTGCTGCTTAGGAAAGAGGATAAATCTGTGTTCCTGCTTTGGTAAATATTTGTTGTGGTGGTACCCAAATGCTTCAGTTACCAGAGGGAGCTCTTTGTTCGGGACCGAGTACTGTTGAAACAGTTTGTGATTTCTGTTCTGGCAGTTCAGGAGCCTAAAGAGACAAACAGATGAGTGAACACATGAGATAAAGGCCATGGTGAAGAACTGTCACCTTCTTCTTGCCAGGCACGTGTCTGCAGCCATTTGCCTGTTTTTAACCAGGGACTGAATGCAGAAGGATGAAACCCATGGGGAAGGATGATGCCTTAGCCACTTGGCAGAAGTTTGTTGGTTTGATAGGAATAAGCCTTGAAAATACATTGAGACAGACCTAAGGTTTTATAAATTCAATTAGGTGGTCCTGTATGTGTAATGAGAAAAGTGGAAGGAAGCACAGAGAGAAGCTGGTGATCAGGGCAGAAATGGCATGGAAGTGCCAGCTGAGTTAAGGGAGTTGTCCAATTTCTTTCAAAGCTGCTGAGTGGAGGGGGTAAAGTAGTGAAATCCTTGAAGATGAAGACAAGGGTCTGTGGATAGTGTAGTTTTATAGGGACAACAAGTCAAGGACCTGAAAAGAGCCATTTTTGCAGCAGCATTTTTCATGAGCCATGCAGGAGTGTGGTTGCTGTGGTGAAAGCCACAGAGTAGGAGCAGGAGGAAGAGGCTGAAGTTCTCCTGAGGATGGGCTTTGTGTGTGTGCTGGTCGCTTGCTTCCTGCTTGCTAGACGTGGAATGATGCTAAGAACGCTTTGTGCTCGTGACTGGAGGCTTTGGGGAGTGTCAGGAGTGTATAGTCACAACTTGTGTTGAACTTAAGTGTTAATGGCATGTGGAGGGAGCCTAGATTAAAGCTTAATACAAGGTTTGTTTCATTGCTTTATTCTGTCCATTGCCCCTGCAAATAAAACTGCTGATGGTAGTGAACTTGGGTGATCTTCTGCAGCTTCTACAAGTAGGTAATTACTAGTTAATAAACTAATAAATAAGTGAAAAAGTTGGAGCAGATATTTGTAGAAAAACAGAGTTGGGTAAAGGAAGTTGTAATTCTGTTATTACATCATTATTATTATGTTGTGATGATGCTGATTACTCTTTGTATCCTCTGTGATAGAAGCAGACTTATCAAAGTCAGTGAAGGGGACAGAAAGTGTCCCCTTAAAGTGATAAGTTTTATAAATTGTAAATATGTTTAAAAAAAGAAAAAAAAAGTCAAACTTAACAACTGGTACACTACTATGTAGGGAATTAAGTGCTAGCTGTATTTTTTCTTGCTTTTGTTATTTTAAACACAGTTCCTCAACAGAAATCTGAGAGCAGTTTTTGATTCAGAAGAGAGAGGAACACTTAATTATTTTTAAGGCTCTGAGAGTGCATATAGATAACTCTCTCCATTATCTTTCATCAGATAAAATGATGAGTGTCACAGGGGGCTGATAGCCATTTCTAAAGGTATGGACAGTGGAGCACTGTGCTGGAAATGCCAATGGACCAAGACTCCACTGGGTCTGCAGCTGGAAGTCAGGCACCGTCACTTTAGTGCTGAGCCCAGGCTGGATTTACAGATTGTATTCCTCACTGAAAAGATGCCTAATAAAAATACATAGGTCTGAAATCCCATTTTTGCAGGGGAACCAAAATAGCCTTGAAAGAGCATTATCTTGTTGAGCAGTTTGGTAGAGACAGAATCACAATTACTTTATTTTAAAAGCTGGGCACCATGTGACATGTTAGAGGTTTAATCATATTATCTGAAAAGGCTGCTGCTTCTAAAACTTATTCTAAGCACTTACCTGAGTTGGTACAAAAGTGTGGGAGAAGGAATAATCTCAGTTTCTGTTCTGTTTAAAACTGTGTTAATTAAATTGAAGGGTATTTGTATGCTAGTTTTGTAATTTCTACTTCAATTAAAAGAGGGTTTTGTTTTCTTTGCTTGCAAAGAGTGGTCTTGCCAACAATTTCCTGTAGTAGTTGTCAAACCAAAACACAATATAGTAATATTACAAAACTTGAAATGTCTAAAGTTCTTGACATGTGATTTGTGACGTATTTTTGATTAATGTGTGCCTAACTTCTTTTCCATTGTTTGATTCATATGTTGAGAATAATCAGGAATTATTTTACTGTGGGAGTTTGGGTTTTTGAGGTTGTTTCTGTTTTATTTATTAAATTCCATAAAATGAGAGAAGATCATGTTATTAATGTTATATTCAGTATAATGAGCTCTGCTTTTAGAGAACAGAGCGATGGAGTAGGAATAAGAACTCCCCTCACAGGGAGGTAAAAAGGATATGCCCCATATAATCCCACCTAAAATAAAGAAATGTTTGGTAGCTGTCAAATTTTCTATGGGGAGAAAAAGCAAGGAGTGTGCAAGTACCAAACATTATATCTATTTGTCATGTTGACACAAATGTTTGTTTAAATAAAAAAAAGGCAAAAATTCTTCCCAAAGGGGCTCTTTTGCAATGCTGAGGCACAGTCATTTTAATTGCAGTTCGGGAAACAAGTTACTGCCCTTCCCACAATTCTTTAATCTCACATGTGAAACGAGGCAGAGTTGGAAGCAGAGCAGGATAAGCCGTGTGCTGCTCTGATCAGTTCAGTATGGCTGCTTCTCCTGCCAACTGCAGCGATTCCTGAGCCCTGTCCCTTTTCTGCCAAGTACTAAGTTCCCTTTGGTGTAGATGAATTCTTAAGGACGGAAAGAGAGGAGGAGGGATTTGGAATTGGAGAAAGGAAATTCTGGAAATTTGGGAAAAAAGATCTGTTTGGAGCTAAGTAAATTTTTTCCTGAAAAAAGGGTGTCGACTACTGCTTCTACTGAATCAATAGATTTTCAGCTTCTTGTAAATCTCAGGACAGACTCCTTTCATTTACCCACCAGTCCTGTCTCTTCTGCTGATCCTTTGGCTCCTCACTTATGTCTGTTCTGCTCTTCAGCTTTGTATTGGTCTTTCCAGCTGTCTGCTACTTCATTTTTCTTCACTGTGGCTCCCCCAGTGATACTGCATTGGTGTTTCTCCATCCAGCTGATGTTGTGGTTCCCCATTCCTTCCATCATTTTGGCATCACAGCATCATAGTATGGTTAAGGATGGCTGGGATCTCTGGGGGTCATGTGCTCCGCACCCCTGCTCCAGCAGGGTCACCTGGAGCTGACTGTCCAGTACCATGTCCAGACAGCTTCTATCTCCAAGGATTGAGGCTCCACAACCTGCCCTGGACAACCTGTGTCAGTGTTCAGGCACCCTCACAGTAAAAAAGGGTTTCCCGATGTTCAGAGGGAACCTCCTATGTTTTTGTTTGTGCCTAGTGCCTCTGTTCCTGTCAAAACCTTCCAGCTGTCAGCACCTTCCACCTTTCTGGTTATCAGTAAAGTTACTGTTTGCTGCAGAATGCTGCGTTCCCCTCTGGGATCCTCTTGTGCTTCTCCTCTACATAAGAGCAGTTTTTTTCTGATGAGTGAGTTTCTAATGGCCAAAAAAATACAAACCAGAAAATTCTGGAAAGCATGTGGTTTTGTGCACAGGGATACATGCAGATCTAAAACTGCTAATCCAAAGAAGGAAATAATACACCAAGTAGCTCCTGATATGCTTTCTGTAGGTTTGGTAGCCCTTTTGCTACTAATGAAGACTTGGCTTCTGCTTCTTTTCCCCATCTTCTGTTAGTTTCAGCAAGTTTCTGTACTTGATATTTTCTTGGCTCTACATTTAAGTTGAAAATTCTGTGTGTTAATTATCTGATTATTCCCCTCTTTTTTTTCTTTTTTTCCTTTTTTTTTCTTTTTTTGGGAGCACTTGTGAAATATGCCAACTCATTCTAGAGTCTGTAATTCTTCCTATGTCTCATAAAAATGTTGAGATTCAGATCTGAGAGAAATGCAATGAAATAAGTTTATTTGAACTGCTAAGTCTCTTGGGAAATGATTAGTAAATCCATCAGGTATTTATTCTGTTAACTATCCATACCACGTCAACCAGCTCTTAGAGCAGTGCTTTCTACCAGACCCTCAACTCCCCATGGTGTTCAGAGGCTTTAGAGTTGATAATAGATAAAAGAGCCTGGATGATTTTATCAAGCAGTAGTTCCTTATCTACATTATTGTTATTGTTAGTTATATTTTTATTAGACCAAGTGACGTTGCCTGGCCAGTTGATTTCTTGTTGGATTTCTCATTAACTTCCTGAAGATAAAGCTTCCTCTGACCAGCCTCATTGGTCTCTGGACAAAGCACTGAAGAACCAGAAACAAACACTTCTCAGTGGAGCAAAGTTATTCATGCAGAAGTTGCCAGGGAATTTTGGACTAATTCAGAATCTCATCTGCTTTGAAGCAGCCTGAAAAGCCCTTTTTTAGAGAAAAATAAATCTGCAATATCCTGCTTATTAAAGGAAATATAGGCATCCCTTGCAATTACATGAAGCATACTGAGTAGAGCCTCTCATTAAAGCAAAGTAAAACACCTGAGAACAAGCACTCATGGCAAAAGCTCTTGGCCGTGTGTTAATACCAAAATCCACTTTTAAAATCCAGAC